GTTCTTTACTGCCAGCACTATTTTATAGCACATATCATGGAGTCCGCGGCCTCATTGTGGCTTCAGTGAGCTGACTGTTTCAGGTATTCGGACCGAGCTTTAATATGTCAGGATTTAATCTTCCTCCAACATTTTTTCCTCATTTTACTCTTTCTTTTTGACGTTTTGTTTTGATCCCATTTAGTTTCCATCAAGGAAAGAATGCGTTTGATGAAAATGTGAGTGAAATATTTCATCCACTACTCTTTAGAACCCGATACCAGCCTTTGGAGCAATCCTTTGTACCTTTATGTTATGTTCTCACTGTTTAGACGATTTAACTGCATAAAAACAGATCAAAAGGTGTTTTGTTGCACTGATGATGCATGTTGCATAGCTTTCCTCATCTCCCAGCCCTTGCTCTTCTGCTCTGACATCTGTTTTACTTACATCTCCTTGTTCAAAGTCCATTGTTGACCTCACACAATGTTCTTTTTTAGAAAATTCATCTCAAAACAATGTGCAGCTCTTGTAAATACCACCACAATGCCTTAAACAAGGAGTGTAATTAGAATCCTCTGAGTTGATCATTTATCTCTCTGAAATCCCTGCTGGTCGCTGGAGTTCATGATTGTTGGCACCGAGATAAGACGGGAAAAAAATGGACCGGACCTTGATTGTTGCTTCAGTCGCTGCACGGCAGCTGTTCTCCAGGTGTTTGGATGTGTGTGGCTGAACCATCTTGTCTTAATGGCGGCCTCCTCGAAGAATTGGCAGGACTTCCAACGCCCTCCCCACCCCTCGTTCCTTTAAAACAGACCAAAGGAACACAAACCACTCAGCCAGCAGCATGCTGAGGAGGTGTACCTTAACATTACTCAGCCAGAGGAGATTGCTGAAAAATAAAATGAAAGCAAACCTTTTTGTTTCTCTTAACACCAAAGTAACTGTAATAGAAGGTCTGGTTAAATCCCCTCCCCCTCCAAGCTGCTGGCACCGCCATAGTGAATTTAGCCGTTTTCGTAAACACAGCTCCACTGTGGAAGACTTGAAGCCGCAAGACATGTTCCAAGTGCAAGTTTCAACAGCTAGGCCCTTTGCACAAAGCACACCGTTTTTGCCCTCATGCTGAAAAAGGGGGGGGGGAGGCCTGAAAAAACAATCCACCAGGCGAGAACGGGGGGGTGGAATGAGTCACCCAGCAAACATAGGAAGCCTAGCCTGGGCTAAGGTACATTATACCACCATGTTCCAACAGCAATTAGTGGCATTACCTGAAATTATACGTAATGATTCTAAGCTGTGTTTAATCGCAGCCACCTTTATTAATAGAACCATAAATAATGGTAGTTAGAAGAACTAATTTGCTGGTTGGTAGCCTCCAAAAATTCTATTTAAATACCTGTTTCCCTTCTGGGACGATGGCCATGCCGAGCCGCTGAAAAAGTGGACATTCCTTACTTAAAAAATAAGATTTCATCTAGAAACGTTTTTTAGGGAGTGAATTTTGTTTCACAATTGTTGAAAGCAAAGAACAAGTTTTGTAAAAAAAAAAAATCCATAAATTAAACTTTGAAAATTTACTCTCCCAGAGAAAAAAATGGAGAGTAACTTGACTGTATTTTTTAAAATAAATCCTTTTTCATAATAAGTTTTACTAAATATACTCTTATGCTGCTATAGGCTTAGACTGC